GAGCTTCTCAGAAAAAAAGCTTTACATTTACAAAATGATATAACAGGCTGTTCATTTGATTCGGATTTTAGACTGCTAAATATCTGAGCTCATGACATGACACATGGATTTCACTGCAGATATTAAATAAATCATAATAAGTAGTAAAAAAGAGAATATTGACACAGTTTAAATAATATGTTACTAAAGGGAAAACGCAGAGCTCTGCTGGAGAACAAGTGCAGCACTCAGCACCAACAAGAGGGTTAATAAAAAAACAAAAGGACTGATGCAAAGTGCAATTTTAACCATCTCCTGATCAGATAGGCAGGAGGGCCTCAAAATGTCATAAATTGCTGGATAAATCCCCCTAAGAAGTCACATTTCAGGCAGACTGGGCTCACCACAGCTCTTCCTTCCCTCCCAGTTTCCAGGTGGTTTTCAGTGCTGAGGGCAGGAAGTTCTCAGAGCAGCAAGGCTGGGATGTGGCAGATGCTGAGCTGCCAGGAACAGCGAGCACTGAGGAGCGTCCCAAAGCTCCTGCCCTGCTCATTCCCTCCTCATTCCCACAATCCCAGACTAGGAAACCTGAAATGGATCATTCCAGGCCATAAACTGCTCTTGGGGCAAACCTTTGTGCTTGGGAATTGATTCTCACTTTTGTAAGATCAGTGAAGTAATGTAAGAAAATGTGAAGACAGGAAAACAACAATTTCTCAGTGGAATGAAAGACTTTTTCCTCTGATCTTCCAGAGATTTTTGGGAGTGTTGCTAAGAGGATCTTTATGGGCCTGGAAATGAATTCCATCATCCTGGGTATACTGGATGGTGTGAGAGCTAAATGAAAGAGGGAAAAAGACATAGAAAGAAGTAACTTGAGAGAGCAAGAGCTCCAAGCAAAAGAAAAGTAATAAAGAAAATTTTAAAATTCCATCTTAAGGCACGAGAGCTGCTCCCTGTCCACAATGTGCCTTTCATGTTCAGGCAGTGTGACAGGGGAGGAATGGGAACACAAAGGCCCTTCTGCTTAAAGCTCTGGCATCCAACAGACTGGAGAGAGCACTTCCTCAAATCATCACACCTCATTAGGGGCTTTCCATCCAACAGGGAAAATGATGGCTAATCCAGGGAGAAAGGGGGAAAATGGCACAGCCCCGCCAGAAACAGCACCATGCTAAGTAGGGATTTGGCTTTTGATCAGCAACAGACAGCAGAGAAAAAACTGAATGGGTCCATGAGGTTCCAAAATACCAAATAAATCCCTGTCCCAGGTGGACTGTAGCAGGTTTGGATCAACACCTCAGTGTTTGATTGTTCTCTGGATTCTGTCCCTCCCCAGGAGAACCACAGGGTGTTAAAATAATTAACCAGCCCTACTTGCTGCATGTTCTACACTAAAGCAGAGCATCCCCTCCACCAGGTTTATTTTGTAGAGCTGCAACATGTTTGCATTTAGGGATAATCAACACAATCAACCCAAAAATGGTTGGGAGCAATTGCATCTTCCAAAGCATCTTCTCTTATCTGCAAAAATGGGAAGCAAAACGCCAACAGCCCTTGCTGGGCAGCTGATCCTGGCACAGAACACTGGAGATCTGGCTACAAATTAATTATTACAATTAATATTAGTTTTATTAGCCTTATATTAATTTTAGATATGTTTTATTTTTCTTCAAGAGTTAAACTGTTCTTAACTCCCCAGCTTTACTTTTCCCCTGATTCTCCCCAGCACCAGAGCAGCGAAGAAGTGAAAAATTGGCTGTGTGGTGCTTCTTTGCTGGCTGGGGTAAAACCAATACAAACTCCAAACTTCCTGTTCAGTGAGGTACAACTTCACTTCCATTCTGGTCATCCTGAAGTTCCTGGCATCTCTTTAGCAGAAAAGGAGAGAGGGAGGTGGTGTTTCCTTCCCTCCCTCTGCTCAGAGCAGTCCTCCTCCTCCTCCAGAGCACTGGGAACAGCTTTAGGATTGTTCCAAGGACCTTCTGGTTGCAATTCTTGCTCTTACAACATCCCAGGGGGCCGTGGAGTGGATGATGGATCAGGGATGCGGCTCAGGGAGATGCACACACAACAAGGCAAGCCAAGGGACCCCTGATGCAGTGCCAGGCAGATCACGATGAAAGCCAGCGCTACAACCACGCTCCCTTTAAAGTCTCCTGGCAAAGACTGCTCTGCAAGCATCAGCCTGAGCACAGCACCACATCAGAGGCTGCTGCTGCCACAAGGACAGACCCACTGTGTGCTGCTCTTCAGAAGGGCTGGCACCGAGGGGCTGATCGCAGTGCAGGACATCCCACAGCACTGCCCTGCCCTAATGAAGCCATTGAGCGCCTGCTCCAAGAGCACAGGACACGCCCCAATATTTATATGACATGAAACATGAAATATCTCCTCTGGCACCGAGAACTGGAGCTGCAGGAGTGGGACCTGCCCAGGCTGCAGGGAGGAGCAGAGTGGATCCCTGCTCCAAGCAGGTATCCCAGTGAAGCCTCTCCTGATCCCCAGTACGAATTCTGCCTCTAAGGCACAGTCACTGCTATGGGTATCAAAGACCTGAAGAGTCCAGGGGTCAGCAACAGCCTGTGGCCATTTCTGGGTCATCATCACACCACACGTTGGTATTGTGCTGGAGGAATCCCATGAGGGTGAATTTGGGAACTACCTGGCAACTCTGAGGAGTTCAGCATTCACTGACTGCCAGCTGAACAGCAAATGGAGACTCTGCCTTCAAGAGCAGGGCAGATGTAAAACAGATCTGCCACAAAAAATCCTTTCTCCATGGCTGTAGTGAGAGAACTGCCTGAAGAAACACTGATCCTGCAGGCATCTACTTGCAGGGTGAGCTCTGCTTGGTTTCTAAACCTGTTTCTGGTTCAGAAACCTCATGGCCAAGAGACATTTCTGCTGTGGCCCCGAGGGTAATTTATTTTTTTAAATTTAGTTTAACACAGGTGGGGCTCCAAAGGTAATTGAAGATTACAAGTACAGTAATAAAGTTAATATGTAGCTACAACTGGCAGAGGAATTATATTAGTTATGTAAGTTCATATTAATAAAATTAGTTTTTTCCTACTTTTCTGACAATACTGAGTATCTCCACCAATCTCTCTCTCTATCAGCAAAACAGTCATTTTTCATTTCAAAACTATTTTGGTAAATCTTGGCCTCACTCTTCACTTAACAACAAATGGCAGCAAAGCCAACACCCCAACACTCAGAGATGAATAGTTACATTTATGAAAACCTATTTTGGGAGACTTGGCTGCATTTCAGTGATGTTCATCTCCCTCTTGACAGTGAATAAAACTGGCCAGGTCAGAAACAGTTTATCTGATTTTACTTGGCTCACCAATTACTGCAAGGAGAAAACAGAAGACAAACCCATGTTTACTATGGGTGTTAACTGGCAACAAGAAATGTGAAATTTCGTGGTAATTTTGGAAGCATATCACAGCAAAATACACAGGTAGACTTAACATGCCTGACCACAAACACCCTTCTTTCCAAAACTGCTCCAGGACAGAAACTTCCTCTCTATAGCACAATTCTTCTGCCTTTGTTACCACCAGCAGCAGCTCGTCAACGTTAAAAATAAAAATGACAGTTTGTAAAGTGCATTTTAGGATCTGTACACGGTGTTCAGGGCAACATTAGAACCTGACACATAGGAGAAAAAGGCATCTAAGCGCTGCTTTGAAGCCACCAAAACAAAAAGGCAAACTCCCAGAAGACTCCGTGGCTGCCAAAGTTGACCTTAACGTTGGTATTTCCCTGTAGCACACACCGGCTGAGCAAGCACCGCCAAACCTGAGAGGTGAATCCCCACACGGGAGCTCATGCAGGGGGAGCAGGGGACACGCCCGGAGTGTCACAGGGTGCTCCTGTCGGGCCACGCAGGGCGAGCATCTGGTGACACACCAGCAAAGCCTCTCTGTCAACACCGCCGCTTCGTGAAGAGACGAAGATTAGCAGCGCTCGCCAAGCCAAGAGTTTGCTACAGATCAGCTCATCGGGCTGCCATCAGCAGCGGTGCCTAGAGCACCCTAACAAAGCTGTCAGCTCTTAAACTTTTAACCTGCTAGAGCCGGGCCAGACACACCGAGAGAGAACAAAACAGCCAGAAGTGCAGCGGCCAGCTGGGCGCTGCGGCTCGGATTACTGCGAGCGCCCCGAGAGCCTCTCCGAAATGAATAGTCGAAATGAATAGTCCCTTTTTGTGCCGGAGTTATGCAGAAATGGAGAGGCTGCACGTGCTGCTCTCAGCCGCAGGTAGTAAAACCACCTGTGCTTCAGAGAGGGGGGAGGCACACCGGCAGCAGAGCAGAACAAAAGGAGCTGTTACTTTTTTTTTTTTTTTTTTTTTTTTTAATACTCGTGCATCAAGTTGAGCGCTTGGAGCTGGTGAAGTGACTGTGCAGCTAAATCACCTCAGCATCTGACTCACAGCACTCGGTTGAAGAGTTCAGCGATCATCTCCTACCAACAGCAGCAATTTGAGCGGAATTTTCCTAAACCACCGTCAGACTGCGGAAAACCGCTTTCCCTCTCTACGTCTGGCTCACCTCACAATAATAATGAAAAAAAAAGAAAGCCAGTCTGGAAGCTTTTTCGCCCAGATTTCGCACCGTAAGCGGCTGTGCTGCAGTGCCCTACCTGTGCGCACACAGGTGCCGCCTCTCCGGCGGCGCTCCCGTTACCCGCTCACCCCACACCGAGCCCCGCTCGCTCCCTCACACCCCGGCGCTCCCCGGGGAGTGCTGCCCGGCAAGCCCGGCGTGGCCCCCGGTGAGGGCGTGGACGGGCGAGCCGGAGCCGCTCTCCGCAGGTAACAAAGCCGCCCCACGCAGCCGGCGCCGTGAGGGGCAGCTCCGGGGGGAGGCAGCGCCCCGCGGCCGCCGAGCCCCGCGGGGGACCCGGGGCTGCCCCGCGCCTCCCTCCCCGCTGCCGGCCCCCGCCTGAGGCGCGGGCGGGAGCGCGCCACGCCGCCGGGCGGCTGCGGGCAGCGCTGGCGGCCGTACCTGGCTGCTGCTCTCGGCCGGCAGGTTCCGCAGCAGGATCTTGCGGCGGTTGCCCAGCTCGCGGCGGGTGCTCGCCAGCCGCCTCGCCACCTCCTCGGCGCTCAGCGGCGGCGGCTCCGCCGGCAGCGCCGCGCCGCGCTCGGCTCCCGCCGCCATCTTGCAGCGCGCCGGGGACCGCGGGGGGAGCGCGGCGCTGGGGCCGCCCCCGCCCTGCCCCGCCCGGGGCAGCCTGAGGGAGCCCCCGGGCCCGGCCCCTCACGGCGGCCCGACCCCGGCCCGCCGAGCCCCGCAGCGACGCGGGGCAGCCCAGCGGGCTCGGGGCGGGCTCGGCGCTGCCCGTAACGGAGCTCCGGGGTGTGTGCGGGATGAACGGGACGCAGCGGCAATTTCACAGAACGGGTCCAAGCGCCCTGCTCAGACAGGGTCATCCCAGAGCACATGGCACAGGATTGTGTCCAGACGGGTCTGGAGTAGCCCCACTGAGGAGACTCCTGAGCCTCTCTGGACAATCTGGCGCCGTTCTTTCAGTGAAGAAATTCTGCCTCCTGTCCAGGGGAACTCCCTGATACCGGTTCCTGCCCGCTCCTCTGGTGCCATCGCTGGGCCCCGGGGCAGAACCTGGGGGCTCTCTGACCCTCCCTGCACACAGGGACACACAGGGACACCCAGGGACACCCAGGGCTGAGGCCCCTCTCAGCTGGGGCTCCTCTCCAGGCTGAGCAGCCCCAGCTCCCTCAGCCTTTCCTGGGCACCGAGATGCTCCAGGCCCTTGCTCAGCTCCAGGAGCTCCTGTCCCTGCTGTGCTGAGGAGCCAGAGCTGGACACAGCACCCAGAGGTGCCCCCAGGGCTGGGCACAGCACCCAGAGGTGCCTCCAGGATCCCCCCTGACCTGCTGGATCTGTACCCAGGGAAAGTGGCAGTGATGGAGATTTAGGGAATGATTGCTGCTGGGTGAAGAAGAGGGACAGTGCTCTGGCCTTGGCTCCCATCAGGATGGATCCTGGGGCAATTCCCCTCACAAGAGAGCCCCAGCTGTTCTCCAGGATCACCCCTGACCTGCTGGGAATGCTCCTCCTGAAGGTCTCCTCAGGACACTCTGCTGGCTCAGGGACTGCTCATTGTCCACCAGCACCCTCAGGCCCTCCTCAGCTCATCCCCACAGTATCCGATCTCCAGACAGATTTTTGGGAAGGATTTGAGAGCTCTGGAGAACAGCTGGGGCTCTCTTGTGAGGGGAATTGCCCCAGGATCCATCCTGATGGAAGCCAAGGCCAGCAGCAATCATTCCCCAAGTCCCCATCACTGCCACCTTCCCTGGATCCAGATCCACTGGAGAGGCTGAAATACAGAACAGCAACAAAACAAGGCTGACCCCATGGAATCAGTTAGCCTGGGGAAGTGGAAAAGTTCGTTTAGTGGGAAATTCTGAAAAACAGAACAGCAAAAAATAAATCCCACAGAATCAGTTAGGCTGGGAAAGACCTCTGAGATCATTGAGTCCAACCTGTAATCCCAAGTGAACCCAAGAACTCCACTGGAGATCAGCAGGCACAGTGGCCCAGAGTGATCTTGTCCCAGTTTTATTCCTCACCAGGAATGTGACATATTAATTAAAATCCATGCAAATGAGGAAAACAGCACCTGGCTGCTGTGCTGGTGACACCGGGGACAGGCACAGGGCTGTGACCTGCCATAAAAAGGAGCCCAGCATCACAACAGAAGGACAATATTTCATGGAATCGCTATAAAGTAAATTTCCCCTTCCATGAGTTCTCAGTCAGCACCCATTTAAAAAAATAAAATAGGTTGTTCTTTTGGAAAATCCATTTTTCCTCTAGCATAATTCCTTGCAATGTCATTTACAGTAAATGACATTGTAAATTTAGCTCTTAACGTTGTCATCATTGCTATAAATGAGTGAAGAATAATTTAAATTTTTGTAGCCATTTTTAGACACGAGGCCAACCACAAAGAACAGGCAAAAGAGAATCCAGACCTGAAACATAATGAGTCTTAAAAAGGAAATTGGAAGAACACTTGAAGTTGAATTGGGTGTTTGTAACAATTCTTATCAAGAAAATCTAATTCTGATGGATAATTCTTGACTAGGTTCAAGTTGCCATTTTAATTATCAGTTACAGATTAAAAAATTCCACCAAATAAATTGGTTTAGAAATTGCCTTGGCCCAAACCAAAACAAGTTAAGAACACAAAAAGTATCTTGGACTTTCATTACTTCTAAAATGAATTTTAAAATGACAGTAATCAAAGGGAAATTTGGTTTATTATTTAAAAATTGACAGCTGACAAGCTTCTGTTCAAGGGCTTCCTTTTCCCTAATTTTTTCTTGAACACGTAATGTTCCTCCTTTTTCAATATTTGCATTATTTTTAATAAAATCGTTGGAAATGAGAGGTGTGAAGGGTTCATAGATTATGGGATGTAAATAATTCTGGGATCATGAAAAAGGAACACTTTTCTCCTAGAAATACTGAAACATGAAATATCTCCTCAAAAATTATCACCAGATCAAGCAATTACAGCAGAAATTATGGATCTGCTCAAACATCATTAAATTTAGTTATGCTAATGAAGGAATTCAAGCAGAGTAATTAATTTTACCATTAATTTTCTACTTTGAAGGTGGACACTGCTTCACCTGCAACCAGTGCTCATTAATTCTACCTACAGCAATTGCCTCCTCAAAATTTGCCTTTTTTTGGTCATTTTTGATGGGCTGCAGGTGTCCCTGAATTTAAGTCATTCAAATTTAAAGTGCATTGCTGAAAGAGTTCAGAAATGAATAGTTTGGTATTAATGGCACAAACAAAATTCCTACAGTAAATAGTTCCAGAGAAACTTGAGAAAATAGGAATATATTCAGAGAATATATAAAATATCAGGGAAAAAACTTTTTTTTTTCTCTTGGTTATGGATAGATATTTAAAATCTTGTATTTTGTAGGTTCAAGTATTCATCTTTTCCCCCCAGTGTTCATGTCCAGGTGATCCCAGCCTCCCACAAAAAGAGCTGTTCCAGGAGGAAGAGGATGCTGAGCCAAGGCATGCAGATATTTCCTTAAGGAATTTCCTCCTCTTGATTAGAGGCTTCCATGAAATATTTCCATGACTTTGACTCCTTTTCTGGAGCTTTCAAACCAAACCCCTCCATGTTTATGCTTTGATCTAAACAGTTTCCCATTTTCTAAAATACTTTCATTAGGTTTTCATACTGCTGCAGAAGCAAAAAAACATTGTTAAATTAAATCTATTATTAAAAAATAGAACAGTAACTTCAGTTGTGCTGCTGCACAACTGATAAACCACCTTGTAATAATTTAATTTAATTCACTAAATTCCCTGCTAATTAAGAGTAATGTACTCAACCCCAGCAGTTCCATTTGTAGCTGTCCTAAAAAGATAAATTTCCCTGTGCTTCTGCAGCTCTGGATCATACCAGTCATATATATTTTGTAATTTTTATGGAATGAGTATTAATTAAAATTGTAATTGTAAATTTAAACATTCTTTTGGAATCACAGGTGCAGTCAGGCAAAATTGTCCAGGCTGGGCTGGTGGAAGGAGTCCCTGCCCATGGCAGGGCTGGAATGAAATGGGATTTAAGGTCCCTCCCAGCCCAAACCAGTCCAGGATTCTGGGATTCTCTGGGATTCCACATCCAAAAGTACAAACAAACTCAGATCTCTGCACACCAAGTGACAGCCAAGACTGAGAACATCTCTTGGACACAAGCCCCTCTGATATTCCCAGGTATTTCAGCTCCTCAGGTAAGGGATGGCTGAATGCAAGAGAAATGAAACAATTCAGTGTTTCCTGCAGGGGGATGTGGGACCCTCCAGCTGCTGCACATTCCATCAGAAGGATGGATTTTACCATCACACTCATGTCAGCCACACAATCCGTGGCACTCCCTTTTGTCCCTGCTCTTCCTGCTCCAGCTGCTCCTTTTGTTTCATTCAGCCACTGAGATTTTGGATCCAGGAGCTGCAGATTTCATTTCAACACCAATGATTCGTTTGGTGATGATCACCCAGATCACTCACAATGCAAACTGCATCCAAAAGACACCAGAGGTGCCAAAGGAGTTCCTGTATCCTACAAATTCCAGCACTTCTGGCATTCTCAGTGCACCATTCCATGACATGCCCAAACTTGGGATGTTTCTTACTCCTGCTCTTCCACCCAGGCACAAAAACTCTCTGCTAAACATTGCAGTGGGAGCTCTTGGATGTGGATTTGCTGCTCCTGAGTTGGGGAATGATGGATTCTCTCAGGATCAGCCTGCTGAGCAGCTTCCACTCTTTAACTCAGAGTCCTGCAAACAAACAGTGCAAAGGTGGGAGAGTTCAGAGCTGGAACTTCCAGAGTGAGTAACTCCTGCAAGGAAATCATCACTGGGCTCTGCTGTCATGGGCTATTTTGGGACCTGTGGTCTCTGCAGCAGAATTTCAAACCTTTGTTGCCCCATGCATCATAAGCAGATCTGTGTGGTTGTGTTTACAGGCAGCAAAAAAAAAAAAAAGAGTAAATATTAAAATAAACACCAGAAGGCAAAGCCAAGTTCTTGAATAATAACTGAGAACAAAGGAAAATGAGATCAAACAAATAAAATTCTCAATAAATGGCCCAGATATTCACAGGGGAACCTCTGCAACACTTTCTCCTGAATCAATGTCCTGCTTTCAATCACCACTCTTCCCACACAGGCAGGCTTTATTTTTCCTCATTCAGCTTCAAATTTAGTCATTAGTTATTGGAACCAAGTGCATTTTGGCAATTTCAGTATTAAAAACCATCCAAATGTTGCTTGGATTCCCAGCAAAAGCAGGTCCAGCCCCACATTCTTACCAGGAGTATTTTTATTGGCCAGCCCATCAATGTGCCTCAAATGGGAATTCCAAATAAATCAGCCTCAGATTCCCTAAAAGCACCAATTTTCTAGGAACTGGGAACTGACAGTGACAATTCACAGGGAATTACAAAATCATTTACCACCACAAAACGGGGCAATCCTCATGCTGGGGGTGAAAGCATTCCATAGGGTGAATCCATACATCTCCATTCCTGCTCCTTGGATCTGGCTAATTATAAACCTGGAGGAAATTTGCTGAGATTAACTGAGGAGCTGGGATGGA